CTAAAAAGCTACTTACGTACCAAATTTTAAGCAAATCGGACCATAATTAGATTTTTTCGAATAGACCGTTCCCTGGTCCACCTACCCGAAAAAAGTAAAATTTTTTTAGCCTAAAACATGGTGGTTACCGAAAGCTATTTGTATACAAAATTTCATGAAAATCGGACCAGCCGTTCACGAGATTACCTGTTACAAAAAAAAGGGACTTCTCTTTATATAATTAGTATAGATATATTCTCATTATGAACTTACATTCCTCATTATCAATTTATATATTCTCAATATGAATTTATATTTCCCATTATCAATTTTTATTTTCTCATTATGATTTTATATTTCTCATTACCAACTTATATATTCTCAATATAAATTTACATTTGTCATTATAAAGTTGTACTTTCTCAATATGAATTTACGCTTCTCATTATCAATTTGGGATTTCTCAATATGAACTTACATTTTCTCATTATAAACTTGAAAAGGTGTAGAATTTTAACCACAACATTAGAAAAGGCTTATTTACGTTCAACGAGGTATTTCTGAAGTCGAAATATGATATGTTTTGCTTCAACTTAGTATCAATATATTGGGAATCGAGTCTTTTTAATTCGATATTAGTGTGTAACCGATTTTTTTAGAGCGGTACTTTAAATGATTTCCGCTCCGATACTTTTGGTGCGATATCGTGCTCCTACTCAAAACTTAAAGCATGTTCACATTATCGTAATTTACGGCTCATTTGTAGTTTATAAGCAAACCATGCTGAAATCAAGTAATTTCGCTTTGTAAAATCTGTCAATAATTTAAATAGAAATGAGATAATTTATCATAAATCCAAAACCAAATGAAGAAAAAACACGATTTTTCATTTATTTTAGCCCCTACTGTTGAGGAAATTAAAAAAAAATCTAGAGGTATGCAACCAATTTTTGTTCGAAATAAACACAAACCACACACTCGTACGTACACGTGCTAATCACATATCTATAGAAATTATGAAAGAAAATGTGAACGTACGTGATTTATGTGAAGTTATTTGATCGAAACAAAGTAATTTATGCTGTAATGTGAACATACTTAGTTTTAGTCTGTGGAGAAAGCTTTCCAAGAGGAGCATTTCTAGGGCATTCGCTTAGTTTTAACATTGTACAACCTTTCTATATAGAGCTCACTAGATTTTCCTAACAGAAACTGGATCTGTGAAATATAAAGGTTTCACAGCGCATATCTAAAAACCATGTTCATTTCCAAGAGAGACAATTTGTACAGTTAAACATTTTAAGTTATTCAGCTGTACGTAGCCTTGAATATAAAGTATTTTCTGTGAAGCAGGAATTTCTGCTTAGGCGGTTATAGTTTGAGCACAGAAGTATTGAGTTTTAAATAAACCAAAAAAAATGTTGTTGTAACCACAATACCATGTAGCTCTTGTTAATGAGATACCCATGTATATATCAAAATATATTTTTGGTACCCGTTAAGCCTAAGTATCTTCGCGATTATGAACTTTTTTTATTTGCGTTGCCACTTTAAAAAGCGCGCAGAAGAGTAAAGCGCCCGCAGTATCAGCCTCCCCCAGCGGCCTGCCGAGAGCTACTATGGTAACAACAACAACCTCTTAACTATACCTTCTTCATCCTCGGATTCGGAGTTTTCAGAATCTGTGCTATCCTCAGAAACACCATCAGTTTGCATTGGATTTATTGTAATTGTCAACGCGGAATCATCCCAAACCAAGCCCTCGTCGGCAATCTTTAGGTATAAAAAAATAGTTAATGTTGCAGTTAATTTAACTCTAAAGTCTAGAATTTACCTTCGAACCAGGCTGATGACTATCCACATACTTCAAGCTATTATTTTTCAAACGGGCAATGGACACACCGCATAATAGTATCACCAAAAATACGCATATTAAGATTATTAGCATCGTCGGGTGTGAGCTTTCAGCTGAAAATAAAAGAAAAACTAATGAAGCCTTGTTTTTTCTCGTATGCTTGTACATATTTATGTACATATATCATCGCTACTCTCTACTCTTTTTATAACCTCTAGTTTCTCCTTGCCTTCTTTATACTATCAACCAAGATTTTTACCTCCTTGCTGTGATTTTTTAACAATTTCTCTATATCTGTCTTTTGTTCTATAACATTCATCTGGTTAGCCTCAGCAATACCTATCATTTCTCTCAAAGCTTCAACCACATTAGCTATGTAAAGCTCGGAACACTTTGACGACAGCAAGCGACAAGCAGCATCTGTCAAATTTTAAATACACACGTTCTTACGGACACAATTATTTTGACGACAGCACGACATCTTGGCTGCAGGACTGCAATTGTCGACGTCGCCAAATTAAATCTATTTCTAATTTTGCCGGCGACAATGAGTAGATGTAGTGCTGCAAAATTAAATTGTCGCAAAATTAATCACATATTCTTGATTGTTCATGTTTTTCTTATTTACTTAAATAAAAATACACAATTTGTGAAATAAATATACCAAAATGTAAAACTTTAAAATCAGCTATTTGCTATGTCGCTGAGGTCTTCAAAATGTTTAAGAAGCTGGCTTCAAGGCGACATTTGTCGACAAAATGATGTCGCTGTCGTTACGTCGTGAAGTTGCAGTCGTCAAAGTGTTCCGAGCTTAAATCATGCAGTTGTCGCACATGAAGCGCAAAAGCGGCCAGTTTTCCAGTGCCTTTAGGCTGTAGTCATCAGCCGACGCACATGCCTGCGTTCTATGGTACACTTTCCCGCACACACCTTGACAACGTACACCCGACTCTCCTCTGACGCCTTTTCGTCATTTCGCGCATTCTGACCAGTGTTGCCGCGCCGTCCCAAGAAAACGTAGCACCGACCAAGCCAAAAAAGTATCCAAATATATCCAATTTTCTGTTTTTACCTATCCATCTCATAATTTGTAAGAAAATCAAACACTTTGAAGAAAAAGACATAATTTAACCCATCCTAAGAACTTGGAATACGTTGTATATATTTTTATATTTCATAAAATCAAACATTTGTAATTTCCATTTATAAATTACATCTTTTATACATAAGTATTTTGCAAAGTAAGTATAAAAAATAGTAATTAATATGTTACATTTGTACATGTACACTATGAAAAGTGTGTGTAAAACTACTACTGAAAAATATCTATTTTTCAACAGGAATCTGTATAAATATACATACGTATAAGATGTTCAGGATTCGATTTTGAACTTGAGATCTTTAAAATATACACATAAATATACACATGAAATGTTTAAAGTTGCAAAAATTTTGAAACTAAAAATACATTTCCTACAAATAATAAACATTAGGAGCTTACATTTACTCTATTTTAAACATTTTATGTTATGTTATTTTGCGCTCTGCGACAAATTTGGTATGTTAAAGTAAATAGGCAGTGTTTAATTTTATTACACGGTGTGCACACATTAGGAGAGGAAAATGGTTACCTTTCTTAATATGCGCAAATAAACAAAAAAAAATTAGAGTGTATTTAAAGTCTTTTCAGTAAACTTCATAAAAATTTCCTTAAATAAATCAAATTTAGTTTTTTAAACAGTGTATTTTAAACTACATTGATATCTTCTTTCTTTTTATATTAACAAATGAAGATAAGTGATATGAAAGAGATATATTTAATTTATATATATATATATATATTAAGATCTTGCTTAAAGCATTTTTTTAGCTAACTAAACAATTGCTCCTAAAAGCTTAAACAGACGGCAGCGTTGATCGGGATTATTTGTTATTTAATCCGGATCAACTGCAGTTAATTCCCGAGTTGATCGGGATTAACTGGGACTTAATCCGGATTAACTGCAGTTAATTCCCGTGTTGATCCGGATCAACGCTGCCGTCTGTTAAAGCTCTTATTACACTGCTTTGGTGAGATCTCTATATATATGTTCATTGCTTCATTCACAAAAAATAAAATTCTCTAATTTCACGCTTAAGTAGCGATTTTTATAACATTCAGAAAACGTCATTAATGAAAATCTATTTTTTAACGAAAAAAACTTTATAGAAAATATAAAATTTTGGTCTATTTAAAAAAGTATCCACATTTATACTGATAGGAAAAAATAAGTATCCCGCAAAAATTCGTCTAAAAATGTATCCAATTGGATCTATTTAGATCCAAACGGCATCCCTGATTCTGACATCTTTGCACTCACTCAGCAGCAGCTAAGTATGTTTGGATGAATATATGTATGTACCATCAACATGCGCGCTATTATTTGTCTATTATGCTTATTTTTATTTTATTTATTTCGAGGAAGCCAATGTCTAGTTATTGGTTTAAATCGTTATGTTTCACACTTTTAATCCAGTAATGCTAGTATTAACACCACATTTTGTAATATTGTTATATTTTAAACACCATTAGCAGAGCGATAAAAACACGTCCGTTCGCGATCGACTTCACAATTCATAATATGTGTTTGTGTGACAACATCAAGGCGCACGCCAATAATCGGAGGAGAAGCTCGGCCAAACACTAACATATGCGTAAGCGCCATGCTATTATTATTAGTAATAATAAAGATATACTAAAAAGTACGGAAAAATACGAAAAATTATGACAGGAAACGGAGATACGATCCTACTAAAGTGGCAAGATTTTCTAATAGTCTTAGATCCGAATAAGGCAAGACCTTCACCAATCTGTTTAATGGATGAAATCTGTTTTCTATACATATTACATATGTACATACATACCCCTAATACTGCCAGCTTTGGTTGATTACACATTGCTTCTGTTACTTTTGCGTGCTTTTAGTGCAAAATTAGAAAAAAACAATAATTTTTGAATATTTAATTAAAATTATCCTGGCCAGGATTTTTTCAGCCAACCCACTCGCGAATTATTTCCTAACACGTAAAATTTCATACAAAATAGATTTCATCCATTAAACAGATGGGTGAAGGTCGTTCCCTATTCCGATCTTCTACTTATTCTACCTATTCTATAATAATTTTTCGTTGTTCCAGGATTGAAGTTTTAAATTTTGATCGTTCAAAAGCACAATACTGTTTGACCCAAAGAAGTCGTCAATGCGTTCGCACTCATTCTACTTATACGCAAAACCCACTTTCCCAAGGCGAATTTATACAAGGTGGTATCGTTTCAGCAAAAACAAAAATCACAACAACAAATTATACGTACAATGACGGCAAGAAGTACCCCAAAATACAACAAACACAGCATTTTGACATTCAGAAGGAACGCGGCGTATTCTAGTAACACCACCTTGTATAAATTCGACCAACAAAATCTGACCAAAAATTAGCTAAAGTCGTTTAACTTTTAATTTATTTCCTAGGCGCATTTCCAAATCTCCGCATTACGCATATCTCAGTAGTGGTGGCAAACTATCGATTGTCGTGACTATAGATAGTGGGCGATATTTTTTTAACTATCGATAGTCTATTGATAATCGCCTATTTTGAAAAAGATTAAAATCTAATTGGGGCGTATTCATCGTCAAAATTAAGTTGGAACTTAATGTTGGTTGTAACTTTATTGACAGATAGCCCATCAGTGAAATACTCGATAGTTTTGAAAATCTATCGATAGTGAAAAATGAACCAAAACCATCGCTAGTTTCGGTAGTGCCATCGATAGTTTGCCACCACTATATCCCAATGGTGTTTTACCTTTGTGAATGATAGAATGCACATGCATCTTGGGCTCCTGCACATCGTGTGAATGTACCATCGCATGTGCGAAGAGTCTATTATCTGCAAAGAAAGCGAGTAGATTGCCTTTTGAGTTCAGGAGATCGGTTTATACCTCGTTTGTAGTACTTACCTGCCAATGTCGGCCCTAAAGCGACGCCACTAACGCCGCTAATGCTATACGGCGAATTTTCAGCGGCAGCCATTGCCGACGTCGGGGCTATTGTGGTCTTGGGTACTAGTTTTGGATGTAACACCGTCAACGTCAATGTAAATTCTTGACTCTTAAATTCAGAGTTCATCTGTGTACAGCCAAGTTTAAAGACGCGATTCAGGTAGTAAGCCGGTTTCTTATTGCTGTAAACGAGCGCCTTCAAGACATCCAAATAATTTACAATTGCATCATTTCCAATCATTTCCACGCCATCTTTATTTATGTTGGTCTTTATATCAAGCGTTGAAGAAAGTGATTCATCACCATCCACCTGGATTTCTTCATGGTCTGGATTCAACGATGGAAACACGATGACACTGCAGGAATCTAAGTTTTGCATATTTGGCACAACTCTACTGTTGGCGTTAACAACAGTTATGTTGACGTTGCCTAATATATGTACGCCGCGTTTGATTTCCGCATACGAAACCAAGTTGTTTGTATTTCCTGAAAGTAAAAACAATAAAATGTAGTAAATCAACTTTTAAAGAAATATTCTTATATATAATTCTTCGGCCGTTTTCTACAGGCGAGCCATTGGTAAGAGATGGGCCCTCTCTACTTAAGTTCTTTCCCGGTCGTTTGCAACCATATCTCAGCTCATAATGTTTTATGGAGTAGGTTTCTCGTGGAATGGACTCGAGAAGACTACTATAGACAAGAATTGGTAGGGCGATAGGAGTCATTCCCACTTTTGTATTTAACATCCCGCTTAACACAGCGCCCGATTACATTTGGAACCAGCTGCATCAAGGGCTGTGGTCAGACTTAAGGACACTGGAAGCAAAACAGACTCAGGTTTTTGACAATCTAGGTTTTTTGAAGACTTCGACTTTACCTTTGACAACAACGATCACTGCATAGCTGGCATCAAACCCCAATTTCGCGACGTCGAAAAGGAGGTAAACATCTCCACTGACAGCCAATCGGCAAGCAGATCCGAATAGCCAAAGCTACATATTTAATACGAACCGCAAGGCTAGAGATTTCATGAAGTGGGGTCATCTCAAAAGTGGTGGTGTTTTAATCGTGCTAAAACGTCGCTTACGTTCCTCAGCATACCAACTTGCTTCATGATTCTTTAATTGATCAGCTATGCGTAAGCGTTATAGCTCCTTTGCTCTACATTTATTTGTGTCTCATATATATCACCCACTAGTTCTGATAGCTTATATGATTCTCATATTGAAAATATAGCTGATCTCCGCGATACTAATATGGATTCCCAATTTTGTATCATTGAATTTAATCTTTCTGATATTATCTGGATAGATTAACAGAGGCTGACTTCCAAAACGTCAATTACATTGCATATGTACAATTGGTTGACAATGTATACTTTTCCAAAAAGCATCCGAAAAGTTATCGAAACGCATCGCTAGAGTAACCAGCGCATCAGAAACAAAGTTGATGTTTTGTTTGTTTTCGGTTATCATTGGTGTTTTAAAAATTTAAAATTTCGAAAGGTGACAGGTAACAAGATCAACGGAAATAAGGTCAATTGACTTTATTTCCCACCCTGTTGCGAAATAAAGTCAATTGACATTATTACCTTTTCAAAAGCGAAATCTCCGAAACTTTTTTTTCGGCAGCAGCACTACTGTGCGTTAAAATAGCTCACGTCAGCATATACTCTGCCAAATTGCTACACATACACTTTTCAAAAACATGTTTCAGGTCCCTGCTTTAGGAAATAAACACAAGGAATGTTAAAGAGTAAAATAGACAACTTCTGTTACACCTTGCTATACAAAACCTTGCTGGTTGCCACCGAAGTTATTGAGCAAAAGTTTAAGAAGTTACCATATTATTTTGAAATATATGCTTAATGTGAATGGAAAAAAGTAAAAAAAAAACGGAGCATATTTTAGGTCAAGCGGAGTAGGGACTAGATTTTAAATTTAAAAAAGAAATCGGAGTAAAT